CCTTGTGCCTTCGAGCGAGCGTAACGCGGTTGACACCATACTTTTTCGCGATTTGTTGGTACGAGAATTTATCTCCTGGTTCGCGCGATTCGATTTCTGCAATCGCTTCTTGAATCGGATCCATGGTTGTTGAGCTATGACGCGTTGAAGTTGTGTTGTTGTTGAAGTGGGGGTGTTCATCGAATGATGATGTTCATCGAACGCACGGGCATTGTAGCGGACAGCTCCCAGGGTTTGAGCCTCACGAAATCGAGACACGCTCCATCATCAACCGCGCCCGCCGCAACGCGACTCTACCATCCGGCGCTGCCCACCCCCATCTAATCGCCGCCTAATCCAGTATTCACTGTAATTGCTGGCTGCAGGGCGCGCACATATCACGAGACCGCTACCCATCACCCTCACGAGCAACCACCGCATGCTCCCCACACATTTCATCAACTCTTTGCTCGCGCCGGTCTCTCGATCGTAAGAGGGTACCATCATGCCTCCTCCACCCAAGCGCAAGCGACCCGAGCGCACTTACTCACAGGACGACGACCGCAGTGGACGCCCGTCGCCGCACCGCCCCCAGAACCTCGGATTCGCGCATCACCAGCAACAGCAGCAGGCTAACAGCCCGCGCGGAGGCGGCGGCGGCGGCGGAGGGGGCAGGCGGCAGAGCAGAAACAACGGACGCGGTGGCTCCAGCGTTCCCCAGAGCCCTAACAACGCCTCATCACACGCGTCGCCGACCGCCATGTCTCCGCCTGCGAACACCTTCCCGTTGACTCGGCCGTCTCAAGCCACACCGACCACCCCGGCCCCAGCGCCGGCTCCCTCACAACCTTCGACGCCTTCCACACCGCGCGAGGTCCCCGAGAGCAATGAGTATCTGACGCCAGACCGCGTCGCTCGCTGGAATGGCGAAGCACGCGACGCTGTGGTCAAGGCCGCCATGGCTGCTCAAGGCACAGGCGACGTCCTCACCCTCTCGGTCATATTTCACGAGATCATCGAGGCGTCCATGGACCAGCTGCTAGATGCCGGCGAGTTGGGCTCAATAGTACGCGACATCACATCTGCCCCGGCCGACGAGCACGTCGACTCAGTATCGACGTTCCTCGACACGCTGAGTTCGCTCACACAAGATGAAGGCAAACAGGCGCTCGTGCGACAAATGCTTGTCGCGACAGATATCGACGTGTCGCGCATGCGAGCCGAACTAGAAAACGACCTCTTGAAGTCCTTGGGCCTTGTTCGCGATAGTTTCTCCAAAATGGCAGTTCGCAAAGCAACTCACGCCCTGTACCGACAGTCTAACTACAATCTGCTGCGCGAAGAGACCGAAGGCTACTCCAAGCTCATGACCGAGTACTTCACTACCGTAAACAGCGAACCGCCCTCACAGGAAGTCGTCGGCGAGACCTGGCAACGAGTGAACGCTCTCATTGGCGCATTCGACCTGGACATTGGCAGAGTTCTCGATGTGACGTTGGATGTGTTTGCCAACCTCCTAGTCAAGCACGGAAGGTTCTTTGTCAAGATGCTAAGGTCGAGCGCATGGTGGCCCGAGCTACGTGGTTTCGATAACATCAAGTGGGAAGAGCCCGAAGTACCGATATTGCCCTTATGGGCGCGACCTGATGCGAAGCAGTGGTATTACACCGATGAAGAGAAGGACGAACAGCTGCGCCTGCGAGAGTCGCGCGACTGCAAATTCTGGCAGCGAGTCGGTGAGTTGGGCGACCGGGCAGGCATTCAGGCCTTCTTTGAACTTGGAGGCCGTCGCATCACTGCGAACAACCGACAACCCGACCAGACCTTACCTGCCGAAGGTGCGCCGCTATCGAAGCAACAAGCAGCTCGGAAATGGGCCGACGAGTGGATGGAGCAGACCAAGACACTCCCTCCGTCAGGAAACGACATCGCCGCCCAACTGCTTGGCTTCAAGCTCCAATTCTACGCGTCAGATGTCCGCGATGCCACCGACGAACTTCCTGACAATCTCATGTACCTAATTGCGCTCCTGATCAAGATTGGCTTCATCTCTATTCTGGATCTTTATCCTCATCTATATCCACTAGAGCCAGACATGGGTGCACACAAAGAAAAGCTCCTCAAGGCCAAGAAAGAGAAGGAGGAAAGCGAACGAGGCGCAGTTGTCAACGCTCTGACTATGGCCGGTGCACTGCCCGACGAGACTCCTGGCCCGCCAGCTGTTTCCCGCCTCCGAGACGCCGACTCCAGATCCAAATCCGACACTGGACGGAGCACGCCTGCCAAGTCTGATGAGCCCGCGGACAAGAAGAAAGCTTTACCCGAGCCCAAGGACCAGAAGTTCACGCTTTTGAAGAGTCTGTTATGCATCGGCGCGCTGCCAGAAGCTCTGTTCATACTCGGGCGACATCCTTGGTTTCTGGACGTTTACCCCGAGCTATTGGACCTCATCTTCCGCCTGGCACATCACTCTTTGACCAAGGTTTACGAGGAATCCAAACCGACCTCAGTTGAAAAGTCCGTCATTGCCACCAAGGGTAGTAATAATCGGGGTATCATGCGGCCTAGCGATTACGTCCCTCGACGGACTCTCCGATGGGCCAAACCGGACCGGAAAGACCAAGATGGAGGAACTGACTACAAGTTCTATTGGGAAGACTGGGTTGACAACGTCCCCGTGTGTCAAGAGGTGGATGATGTCATCAAGCTTTGCACCAGTCTCCTAGGCTTGGTGGGACCAGAGTGTGGAAAGGATAGCGTTCTCCTAACCAAGATCATACGTATCGGCAAGAAGAACCTGGCCGACGATCCTTCCGAGTCGAATCGAAAGCGATGGGTGAACTTCTCAGCAACTTTCGTTGCACCTGCGATTACTTTCACAGGCAGAAATCCCGGAGTCATCAACGAGGCATGGGATCTGTTCAAACATTTCGACACAGCCACACGATACACCATTTACCAACAGTGGTTCAACGGAATGCTTAAGCCGGTGATCAAGACTGCTTTCAAAGAAGTCGAAACTGAAACCAGGAAGACTCTAAGTCGTATCTCTGCAACCAACACCAAAGAATATGGTCGCAAAATCGCCAAGATCTCGTATGCTAGCCCAGGCATCGTCTTCCGAACAACAGTCAAGCAATTGGTCAACTACCCAAACATGATCACTGCCTTGGTCGAATGCAGTCGATATCTTACTTTGCTTGGGTATGATGTCCTGACCTGGACGCTGGTTACATACCTTCTCAACCCCGACAAAGGATCACAGCAGGATGACGGTATGTTGTCTGCGCCGTGGTTAAAGAACATTGCTACCTTTGTCGGCAAAGCTTACGCAAGATATCATTTGATGGATCCTGTTCCCGTTCTACAGCTCACCACACACCAGCTCTTGACTGCTGAAGGCGAGCTATACATGTTGGATGTTCTTGAACAAATAGTCAAGTCCATGGGTGGCATTAGCGTCAGTGGATCTGTATCAGAGTCAGTGACTCTGGCGCTTTGCGCAGGACCTGCCCTTCGTACGTTCACTTTACAGTATCGTCTAGCGGATAACCGTACCCACGCTGCTTCTTCAGCAAGACGTCTAGTCAGGTGTCTGAAGGAGACGGGACTCGGACCACAAATCCTCATCGCACTGGCGCAGCACGTGGAAGCTTATGTTCACCGCGACGACCAGCTGGAAGTACCCGACAAGCCTGTACTTTTCAACGTCGACAAATTGCGCTCCGTCATGCTTCAATATCTGGAGCTCCTCCGTACATTCCTCTCTGTGGACGACTTTGACGCTCTGTTCCCTTCGCTGGTGGAGATGATTGCGGATTACCACGTCGAGCCGGACGTTGCTTTTACAATTGCTCGTGCGGGCATAGCAGCCAAGGCCAATGCTTTCCGAGCTGAACAACGCTCGAAGCTACTTTCCGATACACAGACGAACGGCGATGTTGTCATGAGCGGCGTGGAAGAGTCACAAGCTGTGAATGGAGCGCAAGATGATGCCACATCCGCTAAGACCTCGAGAGCGAAAGAAGACGTGGAGATGAAAGATTCTGCTCCTGCAGAAGGAGACTTGGCATCCGTGACTGCAGCTCGTTCGGACAAGCCTTTCTTGCCCGATGTGCCAAATTCAGAGGTTGAAATCCTCGCGAACCAACTGAAGGAGCAGCTACCGGAGACCTTCGGCAACCATCCTTGTGTGTCCTACTATGTCGCATTCTGGCAGTTGTCTCTGACAGACGTTGTCGTCGACGTCGATGGCATCAATCAACAATACAAGGATTCAATCGAGACCTTGGAGCGACAACTGCCCGCTCCTGTGCCCGAGCGCCGTGGGTACCGACCTAACGTACCCAAAGCTGATTCAGAATCTGTCAAGGCTCTTAAGGAGAACATAGCCAGGATCAAGGACGAACAACAGGTTATCACGAAGAACCATGCTGTGACACAAGAGAGTTTGAAGGTCGAATTACGTCGATGGTTCGAAGGCGTTCCAATGATGGGACCACAGTGCGACGTCTTGCACAACGCTCTGCTCCAAGACTGCTTTATCCCTCGCAGTCGCATATCTCAAGAAGACGCCCAATATGCGTTCTCTATGCTCATATTCATGCACAGCTCAGGTGTGCCAGGGTTCCGCATGAGTCGACTACTGGATATGCTCTTCAACGCAAATAGGCTTACATCTATCATCAGTATGTACACTGAAGCAGAGTCCTCATCTTTCGGGAGGTTCCTCGGTGGTATCTTGCGTGAGCTACAAGTCTGGCAGGAGAACAAGGATGATGCTTTTGTCAAGAACGCCCATGGTTTGGAAAAGAATCTTCCTGGCTTTGGCAGGAGCTACGACGGGGACCGGAACGCGACAAGCTTCTTCACTTACGACCAGTTCTGTATGGTCTTGTTCAAGTGGCACAAGGCACTTGCAGCTGCGCTTAAGACATGCCTGGAGAGCGGCAACTACATGCAAATGCGTAACTCGATCAATGTTCTTCACGCGCTGGGTACCAACTTCCCTAAAGTCACGAGCATGGGCACAGAGCTGAAGGAGATGGTGGTGCGTCTAAAGGAGGGAGAGGAGAGACAGGATCTTATGAGATCGTTGGAGTCTGTTCTTGGACCCATCCTCAAAGGAGAGAAGTTCTGGCAAGAAGACCATGTTTTCCGCAACGTGAGTGCATCAGCATCGCCACACACACACGACAGCAAACTAATGCGCTGCAGGTACCGGCACCTACTCCTGCGCCAGGAAGCACGACGAACGGAAGCGACAAAGCTGCTACCGAGAAGGGTAAGACTCCACAGCCACAAGATGCAAAACTCGACGCGGCTGCACCGGCTTTCAAGCCCAAGTCCGAAACGTAAGTTCACGGATTGTTCCGAGATTATCAACAGTGAGACTGATCGACCTTCTCCAGGAACGGTACTCCAGTACGAGAATCGAATGAGAATAGGTCAAAGCATAATAGTGCAACTCCCGCGCCTCCCTCGAGGGACAAGCCGACGCCAAGAACATCCGACAGCAGGCCTTCTACCCCATCGCAACAAGACACCGGCTCCGGTAGACCTACACCGAAGCCAGGTCCTCCAATGCATCATTCGTCTGTTCCACTGCGACCAGACAACAGGAATACACCAGGGCAGAACACTCCCGTTGGCAGACCACCGCACGCATTACCAACGCGACCAGATCCACAACCGAGGAATCGATCAGAACGTCCTATCATTGATCGCACGCCCGAAAGTGCGCATGGTAGATACGACAATCGAGGTCCCCCTGGAGACTATGGCCGACTAGATCGCTCGGTAGACGCCGGGCGTCTGCGTGAGGCTTCGCCTGGTCGGCGCGCACGACCTCTGCCTGGTGGCAGAACTCCAGAAAGGGTACCTTCAGCCGCCGAGCACCGCGAATGGTCTGGCAGAGAGCGTGATTACGATGATCGAACTATGCGAGGACCCCCACGAGATTCGCGAGCGCCAGCAGTACGGCCACCTACTTGGGATCCACACAACCCAAGAGATATGAGAGATCAACGTGAGCGTTCTGATCCTCGAGGTCATGCTACGCCTGCAGCGATGGAGTCTCGCCGTATGCCATCTACTTCTTCGTTAGCTAATGAATATCGGCGAGATGGCCCACCAGCCAACGCCCCATATGCTGCAGAGCAAAACGATAGGCCATCACGACTGCCAGCAGTGCCAATCCCGGCCAAGGAAGAGCCCACAGTCAACCCCGCGCGTGCTGCCTTGATCAATCAAGCAGAGCATGCAGGTGGCAGACACATGCCACCGCGGTCTGATCGTGACAACCGTAGCGAGCGAGACTCTCGTATGAACTCTCCACGTCATGGCGATGATAGGCGTGGTGACGATCGTCGAGTCGAAGAGCGCCCGCCTGCTGGGTATCATGGACGAAACGACTTGTCCCGAGACGTTCGGGATGAGCGTCCTCAGATGCCACCCTCTGGCGGCCGCGACCGCCGGGACGATCCAGGAGCTAGTGCCCCGACTGGTCCTCGTGGCGGGCGCAACGAAACCGCTGCAGCGTCTCGTGCATCACGAGAGATGTTCCAGCCTACACCTGGACCACGCGCGCAGGATCCCAACTATGGAAGACTGAATCAGCCTTCGGAGCCGGCACCACCATCAGGCCCACGCAGTGACAGGCCGCATGCGCCGTCGCAGCCTTCCACACCGAATGCACCCACCGGTCCCGCAGCGTCACTACCAGCAGGTATTCATCCTAGTAGGCTCGTTAACATCGAGGGTAGAGCACCAAGCGGGCCACCGCTTCAGACTAATGTACCGAACGCTCCAAGCGGCCCGCGCGGTAACAATCGCGGTCCCCAAGGACCCGTCCCATCATCACCAGTTGGTCCGCGACCTCCGACCGGTCCCGGAGGACCCAGGAATGCTGGTAACCCTCTCCGTGCCATCAATAACGTATTGACTGGAAATGCGCCCGGCGATCGGTCAAACGAACGCGGTGCACCTCCTTCTAATCCTCCTGTGCGAGGTCGTGGCGCTACACGCGCCAATGGCCCAATAGAAGGGTCCGGTGGTATGACAAGCCCGATGCCACCGCCGTCGCTTGATTCTACACCCAACCGTATGGAGAATCAGCATCCGAGAAGCAGCAGGAACGACGATGTATCAAGCAGGATGGAGGGTGCTCCACCAGAAGAAGGCCGCTCAGAGTCACGCAGCCATCGACACCGATCAGGACGCGAGCGTTCACCCGATCGATCCGACCGACCTCGCGAAGAAAGGAGCAGCCGCAACCCTCCTTCCGACCGCCCAGAGGGTGAGCGGGGCTCCGACCGAGACCGTGGTGGTCGTGAAAAGCGAGGTGGCGACAGGGGAAGCAGCCATCGAGAGCGCGAACGAGACGGAGAATCGAGGTCAGGACGGGAGCCCCGTGAAAGCAGCAGACGAGAGCGTGGTTCTCGTGATGATGGACGAGCTTCGGGAAGGGACGAACGCGATAGGAGGAGCCGTGGTGGCGGAGGCAGTGGAGGAACAGACGATGGCCGCAAGAGAGGTCGCGATCCCCAGGATCAAGGCCATGGAGAAACAAAGAGGAGGCGTTAGTGGCGCCGAGAGGGCGTTCAATGTCCTACGATTTGACGTGAAAGAGGGAAGCAAACCGACACTTCATCGTCAACAACATCAACAACAACAACAACAACAACAATATCTCAACTTCTTTTCTCTTCTACTTTAATTCGACCCTGGGAACTGGAAATTGCATTGCGCGGCGTTTGTCCTTTTCATCATGCCTATAGTTGTTTGAGGCATTTTACGATACCCCGAGGACGAACAACTTTTCCTGAATTTGTTGGTGTTCTCGAGCGATAAGAAAAACGGCAGCGAAAGACGCATGCATCATTAAGGAGTTTTGTTTGGCTTTTCTGGATAGCCGGATGAAAAGTCCGATTATCATCTGTTTCTTTAACTTTATCTGTACTATCATCACTCAGGAAAGGAGACGAGACGAAGAGATGCGACTGCCAGTATAGACTCTCGCGATTAAACGGAATAGAGAAATGCAGTTCTCAACATATGCGACGCAGGTGCAGAGTAAAGTGCTCACTAACATTCTCCATCATATATACATCCTGTTCCATGGTTCCAGCAGCATACGATAGTACCTTACCTTACCCTCATCCCAAATCGGAGACCGCATCCCCGACCCCTGTCAATCCTATGCAGCTGCTGAGTCGAGTATTTCATCCGGATCGCCCTGCAATATAAATTAATACAGACCCTGCAGGCTTGCAGATGTGGTAGAGAACTTGTGACTCTGGACCAGACGGTGGATCTTCCGTACCTGCTGTGGCTTGCGGAAGGCCCGTTGAAGGTGGGGCTTCGCATCGGGATGAACCCAAGAAGAGGGTTAGGTCGTCTTCGGCGGCAACAGGCCGTGTACTGCGCATACTGTACGCAAGAAGATGCGTCCAGCCCCTGTAAGAGTTGCATACGAAGGATCAGATCGTGTATGGATAATTCCGAGACATGCATCGTGCGAGAGGTTTTGCTTGGGCGGGCTCGGTTGTTTTGTGAGAAGCGAAGAGTATATGAGGGGATCTTGCCCGAGAAGAAAGAAGTGAGTTGACTGGGCTTGAAGTTGGGTTCAAGATGGTATCGTCGTTCGTTCAAGTGCTGATTGGCGCTCTTGCAGCTACTGGTGTTTCTGCTGTGCACCTCAAAGCACCGCTCAATCAGACTTATGACTATGTCATTGTCGGAGGAGGCACGTCAGGTCTTACTGTAGCAAACAGGCTGACAGAGAATGGAAAACGCAAGTCATGTTTCCCCCCGCAGACCCGCTCCCAACTAATATACCATACAGACACCGTCCTTGTCGTCGAATATGGCCCGCTAAACAACGACCCACGTATCCTTCTCCCAGCCGACACGTTGAACTTCGACCCATCGCGTTTCTACAACTTTACTATGGTCCCTAATGCCGGACTCAACAATAACTCTCGTAGCGTCTTAGTTGGCGCCTTAGTCGGTGGCGGAAGTGCCGTAAATGGCATGTTCTTTGACCGCGGCAGCGTAGCTGACTATGATGCATGGGAGACGCTCGGAAACAAAGGCTGGGGCTTCGAAGATCTCCTTCCATACTTCAAGAAATCTGTTACCTTTACGCCCCCAAGCAAAGAAGGAGCGGGGAAGTACAACTACACGTGGGACGAAGAGGCAGCGTATGGCGGAAATGGCGAGATCCAAGTCTCTTTCCCACCATTCCAGTTTCCAGGTCAGAATCGTGTGTGGGATGCGTGGAAGGAGAGTGGTGTTCAGAAGCCCAAGGAAGCTGCTGCGGGGAACGCGCTTGGAGCGATTCTGGCACCTAGTGCGTTGGATCCCGTGACGAGGACGAGGAGTTATGCTCGGACTGCGCATTATGATCAATATGCGCAGAGACCGAACTACCACCTTCTGACTGGATACCAAGCTACAGAGGTCTTGTTCAAGGAGGGTGGTGAGCTGGAGGCTGAGGGCTTGAACATCGTCAAGGTGGGAAGCACTGAGAAGACGGTGGTGAAGGCGAGGAAGGAAGTTATCGTTGCCACAGGCGCGATATGGACGCCATGGCTGCTCCAGCGCAGTGGTATTGGTCCCAAAAGCATTCTCGACAAGGCAGGTATCAAAGTCAAGAAGCATCTGCCTGGCGTAGGCGCAAACTTCCAAGACCATCCCCTTGGAGGCAGTGTCTGGAACTGGACGAACAACCCTTACAACCCCAAATCTTCGGATCTGGCAACCAACCAAACATTTTACGCTGAAGCTGAGAAAGAGTACATCCAGTCGCGTGAAGGCCCTCTCACCTTATCCCGAGGTAACCAAGCTGGCTTCCTGCCCCTCAAGACCCTCGATCCAGAAGGCTGGCAAACGCTCGTAGATGCCGTTGCAGCTCAAGACCCAACTCCCTATCTCCCAGCCGAATATGACGAAACACTCATCGCAGGTGCGAAAGCAGCACAAAAGCTGACGGCCGACCTTCTCGGACGCGAAGATGCTGCAGCCTATGAAGTCCTTTTCGGTGAAGGACCTGTAGGCAGTGGCGTGTTGATGCGTCCCTTGAGTCGCGGCACCGTAAATATCAATCCGGCAGATCTCTCATCAGGCCCATTGGTCGACTGGCGGACTTTCTCCAATCCCTTGGACGTCAAAGCCCTAGCTCGTATGATGCCCTTCGCGCGCCGCTTTAACACCCTTTCTTCGTTCTCTGGCCTAGACCCCGTTGAACTCACACCTGGTTTGAATGTTACAAGTGATGCTGCGATTGAGCGATACTTGCGCACTACAACGGCGCCAACCTTTGCTCATCCGGCGGGTACTGCGTCAATGCTTCCAAAGGAACATGGAGGTGTGGTGGATACGGATCTGAGGGTCTATGGCGTGGGAAAGTTGAGCGTGGTAGATGCAAGTGTGATGCCCTATCTGCCGGCGACGCATCTCTGTACAACTGTTTATGCTATCGCGGAGAAGGCGGCAGATGTTATCAAGGCGAGGACGGGTTGGGATGAGTAAGGGTTGGTGCAGTGTGTGAAGTGGTTATTGATGTGCTAAGGGACAGTTCTCTGTGATATTCCTATAACACCTTCGAATTTCAACTGCAGAGTTGATATATAAAAACGCGTGCTTCTCTTGACGTGAAGTGCTCAATCACACTATGTGAATTATCTCAAAATCTTGTCGTAGATTCTCATCAACAACGAACGTATTGTAAAAATTGTCGTCCGGGAAGAAATCCAGGTTCTTGACTTCCATGAAGCCAATTCTGCGATACTCGTGTCTAGCGGCGTTGATTTCAGTCAGGATAAGAGCTGACATCTCACGATGTACTTCATCCCACGTCTCCAAAAGGCAAGGCACGCACCAGGCTTCAAATCCACCAGAAAAAGACGGATGGGTATGAAAAGCCTGACCAGCGGTACCTTCCACTGCTAGAGAGCAAGTTTCGCCCATCTGTGGGTCTTGATGTTGTCTTGACACGTCCTCGTATAGTTCCATCGAATCGAGATATACGTGTCCGATGAAGGACTTTGTCAGTGGGTCAAAGGCATAAACGCCCCAATGAAAATCGTCGCTTATAGTTCCACCCGGGATATTAAACCCTAAATTTGCTGAATGCGGTACTAGCATTGCCCTTTGCATTCTTGTGCGGATAGTTAGTTTGGCGAACGTAATACAGCCGAAAGCAGCAAGAGCTCCCGGAAGATGTGAGACTTCCAAACCAAGAACCTGTATTCCTCTTTCTGGGAGACATTCTCTACGAGCGGCGGTGAAGGAAATACTCCTGCCATGCACAGAAGCCCACGACCAACTTGGCGCAAGGTACTCAAGAGATTCTTCGTCGGTGGACCTCACTTCGCTCGAATGAGTTCCAGTGTTCACCCACCAGCAGAGGCCAACCTGCAGGTCTTCCTTCCACAATCCGGCAGCATATGTAAGATCATAATTCTTCTGCATGAGCCTCGCCAAACCTGCAATTGCAAGTAGTTTATCGGAATGAACACTTAATTCTCTACAGCTGTAGGCGCGAACCATCTCGTACCAGGTATCAAAATGGGTGTGTCGAAAGCCATCTGAAGAAGGCAAGGATTTGTCGAAGAGATCTGGACGCCGCACTATCGATCGCATCAAGTCGTTTGGCATCTCGAACAGCATCTCTTTGTCATTATGACTAATGTCAATTGAGTTTGATATGTTGAGTGTCGTACCACCTTCACACGTGTGAGTTTCCATACAACGCCAATCGACCATACTGGGGCCAAAAGCGATTAAACGTCCAGATAACACCTCCTCTTGAAGGACCCATCCTCTTGAATTTAAAAAGTCGTAAGATGTATCTTTTCCCATCTTTATAGATATGTCGCCATGTAGAAGCTTGCTATCTCTTTTCAGCGTTATTGGAACGTTGCAGGCTTTACTTGTTCGAGCGTCGCGTTTAGAGAAGAGACCTGAGTCAGTGTTTGGACCGTTCGCTGCGAAGATGGTCACCGCCGACTGTCGATAGATGTCCCCCATCACAGCCATTTCGTTTCGTAGGTCTTCTGGATCGTCCTGGATGATGCATATTGCGTCAATCCATAGATAACGATATCCAAGCATCCTGGTAACTTGCAAAGCGTCCTTAAAGGTTTTAGGCATCGAGTTATCGAGTGGCAACTCTTTTTTGAATTGTTCATACGATCCGGACCCCTTTTTGCAAAGTAGCTTGCTTCCTTCGCCCCAGCAGTAACTCAGTGTTAAGTAGTCGGCTCGAATCCCAGTAGTTTCTACCAGACAAGGCTGACCCGGCGCTTCGACGTCAACAACTCTGGTAGGGAGTAAAGGCAATGCCTGTGGTGCAGCCTCCATCCTACAATAGTGGTGCTTTTCCAGACATTTCCGTAGCCATGTCTTTATCAAATCCATGTTGAGATCAGACCCTGTGTGATTGTCCGCTGCTGAACCGATCGGACTGCTTCCGCCTTCGTGATCTGACGAGAGGACGCAGGAACGATCTAGAGCGGCACTCACATCATCTGCACTACAGATCAGATAGAACCCTGAACATGCTCAACTTACATACCAGGGATAGGCCTGTCCATCTCAAGCCAACATCTTCTCTCCCCACAGTAGATACGTAGATAGCCAAACATCCTATCGCGAAAATCAAGGTCTTCGTCCATGTTCCAGGAACTATTGCCTTTTACGATAATGAGAACTTGTGTGTTACCGTCATCATTGTCAGGATGCGCAGGAGTATATTCCGTCGTCTGGAACAGTCGAAACCAGAAGAGGGCACACAATCGACATCCACGACTAGCCGAGATTTCCAGTGCTTTCTGAGAAGGCTGATGCACACTCACTAGGATTGCAAGAGGATCAATTTCATATCGAAAGAGCTCTGACCACTCGACACCTGGGAGGTTGAGCTCCCCCGCAGGTGAAAAAACGAGGTTTTGACAAAATTGGCACAACATCGCATAGGGTGGTTGGAATCAGAACATTCAGCAGACGAATATGTGGCGATGGAAAGCAGGTCAACTTTTCGAGTGGAGGAGTAGCGCCAAAGAATGTCAAATGCTGCACAGGGCAGGTCACGCTGTTGAAGGAAAAAATGAGACAACAGCAGGAAAATATCATCCCCGAGAGTGCTGCGTAACACAACAGCAGAGTAAAGAAGGTTCAAAACAGTAACCATCCGTAGAACCTATATAACAGAGTACTCTTGTATGGTTTTTTTCTTACTTTGATTGCTGTGATTGTAATGTTGTAGGGGTAAGATGGCAGCAAGGGCCAACCACCAATGACATCCTATCTAGCAGATTTGACCCGTTGCATCCCTGACCAGACCTTGCGTGTTTTTGTTTGTCAAGTATCGCTGCTACACCATGAGAAGAACCCAACGTATGTTGAATCTTGTGTTTTGTTTGCATTTATAGGCCGTAAATTCTATAGGGTATCATCTTCGCCAACCATTCACTTGGCCGTATTATACGTCGCACAATGTAATCTGCTGTCCATACCGGGACATGCTATGCTCGGCTTACTCCTGGCCCCAAGTATCATCATCGCCAATCTCTCCAACAATCTCCACACCCTGCTCTTCCTGGAAGGCGACCTGCTTGTTCTTCCCCCTCTTCTTCTTTCCCTTGCCATTCTCCTTGTTTGTTCCATCACCCAGCGGGTTACCATCTGCATCAACGCCGGCAATCTCACGTTGCCGTTTCCTCTCTTGGGCTTCTGCTTGTGCAGCAGCGATTTTCTCTCGCATCTCCGCCTCGTGTTCGGCCAATTCGCGCTTGATCTTATCTGCGTCTGCGAAAGACTCTTCCGTCTTCTCCGACTCCATCAAGAACTTGTCCCATCCGCCTTCGTTGATCTTGCATCTTCCTTGGAGAGCTTCCCTCACACGGTCCGGGTTTTCACGCTCTTCGCGGGTGAACTTGGTCTTGATGGAGCGCCGTGTGAAACCTGGAAACATCTGGGATATCATCTGAAAGTCTGTACCAAAAGACTCGAGGGCCTCGTAGAATTTCTTTGTGAGGACATCGTTCCAACGTCGGCCCTGGCCAGGCAGAAGGAACTCATTAGGGAAGCGCTTGTTGTTTTTCATGAAGCTACGGGTTGTGAGACGTGCAGTGATATCTTGGTCTTCTGTGACAACCATTTCGTTGATGATGCGGTCTGCGTCACCCTCTCGATCGATTACCCCAGAGTCGGGTACTAGTTCCATGACGCCGTCTGCATTCAAGCGTAATCTAGGACCCTGCTCGACTTGTGCAGCCGCCAGCTCTGCCCCCGCAGCCGCCAGGGCTGCGTCGGCCTTCTCTTGTTCCTCCCTCGAGATGACCTTTTTGTTGTCTTCCTCTCTTCGACGTTGCTTGACTGCATCCCAGTCAATGGTACGCATCTGCTTCTCAAGCGCAGACAGTTTTCCAATGCGAACAGTCCGAGCTGCTAGAGAATCCATGTAAGTGACATCAGGGTCGATGGTCTGGTCTTCGGCATCGGATGGCGTGGGCTCTCGTGGCGGTCTTCCCTTCCGTTTCTTTTCTTTCCTTGTGCCTTCTTCACCTTCAATACCATCGACTTCGTCGCCTTCAGGAGTGGCCTTCCTCCTTCTCTTTGCTTTTGGCTTGCGACGCGTGGCTGCCGCCACGATGTCATCGGCTATGCGCCCGACCTCGTCTTCTGTGCCTTGGACAATCTCGCTGCTTAGGGCTTCCCGAGGCTTTCTTGGCTTTCTGGCTTTCTTCGGTGGGGCAGGGACTCCCTCGCCGTCCTGGGCGGTAGCTTCGGTGGCCTTTTTCTTCGCACGGGGTTTGGCAGCGGGTCGCTTCCGGGTGGGCTGAGCCTCTTCCTCGTCTCCATCTTCCTGTGCGACGTGGTCTGCATCCGGATCTGCTGTAACGTTCTTCTTTGCTCGCGGCTTCGGCGGCTGCCGAGGCTTCCGGGTTGGCTCCGCAGCAGCAGCGTCCTCTTCGCCCTCTGGGGGGTGGTTCACCGCTGCCCAAGGAAGCGTCCTCCTCTTTCGCGGTTGTGGAAGAGCCTGTGCATCTGCAGTTGAGGCTTCGAGATTGGGGTCGATGTTTTGTTCTCCACCATCATATGCTGATGCTGGTGCTGGCGTATCGACTGTAGCCTCGACCTCTGGCTCCTCTATGCGACGTCTCTTAGGTGACCTACCACCGCTTCCCGCATCCTCCAAGTATTGAGTGGTGAGACCTGGGTCTGTCGAGGACGGTACAGCAACGTGAGACTCACTAGCTGCTTGCGTCTGAGTCTTTG